CTCTCTCTCTCTCTCTCTCTCTCTCTCTCTCTCTCTCTCTGTCAATCATTTACTGCCTCTCCCTTTAACCAGACCAATCACAGGAGAGGAGGATGAGCTCATACTGTACCACTGTACCACTGTACCACTGTACCACTGCCAGTTTATCATTAACATCACTGTTATATCTGTGAGTTATAACAACAGCAACTACAACCTCCTGTATGTTGGTCAAAGGAGAAAAAGTCTGTTTTTACCTAAATGATTGATCAGGTGATTGATCAGGTGATTGATCAGGTGATTGATCAGGTAACTACACTGTTGTTTTCTTCACAATAAAATAAGACAGTAAAGGAAAGTCTGATCTAACTGCTACAACTCACATAAATAGTTGATTTAACTTCAACCTCTTTAACAATTTCATATTTATGTTAATAAAAGTGATGTATAATTTATCTGGCTATATATTTTCAATCAATTAAAACTGAACTGACATTTGTATTGAAGAGTGAAATAAATGACCTAAAAACCGTGTCACAAGAAGGTTACAGGGATAGTTTATGTTAAATATATTCTTATTTTTTCTGGCTTTTCTCAAATTTTAGTTCTTTGTTCTTGAGAAATATTAATATATTAATATGAGTTAATATTTTAACTCAGGATTTTAGTCATTGGACGTCTGGATCTTAACTTATCAGAGAAACAAGCTGAGCTAACGTTAGCAGCAGCTCGGCTCGCAGCCCCTCCGGGACGTCCTTTGTCTGTCCAACAGCGTGGGAGAAGCAGTGATTGTTAAGGTGGAACTGCTTTATTCAGTGTGTTTAAGGTGGAACTGCTTTATTCAGTGTGTTTAGTGGTTTTAATCAGCGGGTCTGTTTGTGTTGGAGAGGAGGAGACCTCTGTGGATCATTGGGCTCCCGGTAGAAACCTCCTGAACCATGAACACTGAAGGAATCCTAACCGGGAGAAGCTGACTGCAGCTGCAGAAGACGGCCGGCTGTTACTGTACATACAGGTTATATCAGGTTTAAGAGTCCTTAAGTTTCACAAGCTGCAGATTCAGGACAGCTGATTGAATTGAGCTGTGATGATGTTAGTCAGTCAGCAGTTAAATAAAGAGTCTGAGCTTCGGCTCTGTAACAAGGTTTGAGGGTCCAGATTGACGTCAAACTTTAAATGTTGTCTCTGTTCTGTCTCTGTTGGGTTGTTATCAGTGATTTATCTATTATATAGTTAATTCAATAAGCAGAGAGCTTTCCCTGGCAGTCAGTGTGGTTAATGAGAGGCTGATTGTAGTGATAGTACAGTGTCACTGACAGGAGGACTCCCCTGCACTGCTCTTACATATGAAACACCTCTGAGCTTTGGCCGGCTGCCCTGAGAGATCAGCGTCTCTGTGATAACTGACCGCTGTGTGAGAGTGTAAATCAGTTATTTAAAGCGTTACACCTTTAATGTCTGTCGTAATAACAGCTCAATTATTCTCTGAGTCAGCTGGGACATTATGTACACTGTGAGAGGTTAAAACAGATTCTTGATCAAGCAGCTTTTACTAGTGACATTAAGTTAGTTTTATAAGTTTGTAGAAATGACCAAGAATGTTATTTTAACTTAATAAAATTCTTAGTTTTGCTTCAAATTTAAGATGTAATCAGTGATCTAGTTTTACAGTGTATATTAGAATAAAGAGTCCAACAAAGTTTGGTACATTTTTCACAGAAAGACTCAAGTTTTTTTTTTTTTTTTTTTTTTTACAGTTTTTATCAATAAAAAGAAATCAGGGGACAAACACAGACTCTAGATTAAAATACTTCGATAATAAAGTGTATAATTAATATTTTACGTCCAGTGTAGTGAAATGTTTCTAATCTTAAATCCTCTCTCAGTGATATAAATGTGGAATAATCACCTCTAATATCTCAGTTTAATCCACCTAATAAAGTCTTTCTTTCTGTCCATCTGGATACAAACAGAGCTACAGCAGGCTGAGGCTCACTGAAGATGACATACTGTTATATATATATATATATATATATATATATATATATATATATATATAATAATAAAGGTTAAAGAGGCTTATTAGTGATATGAGTAGTAAATAATAGAGCGTTACCACGAGCATGGTGTTAATGTTTGAGTGCGACAGTAACTGACAGTTGATGTCTGACTTTAATTAACACAGACAGAAACACACGAGAGCTTATGACTCCCATGTGCACATCATGTTATTATCTCTGACATTCAGGTTCTGGTTCTGGTGGGTCTCTCAACCACAGACCACAGACCGACAGCAGCACAGACAGAACTGTTGACAGAGCCGCACTTTCTGACGCTTCAGCACTTTTGAAATGAGACGCAGAAACCGTTTTAAAAAGTCGGTTTTAAGTTGCAGAAAAGAAGCTGATAGGAGACGAAAATGGGAATATTTTTAAATTCCTGCAGCAGAAATAATATGGACCTCAACGTTCAGCTGGGAGGAGAGCGGGCCCGGTTACTGTCCCAACCCACTAACTGAAGTTTTACAGTATGTTTATCAGTTTGAGAGCAGATTGTAGTCAGATTACAAACTAAATAAAGAAAGAAAGCTTTTCTGTACAAATAGACGGAGACATTAGTCCTGTTTTCCTACTGATCGGCAGCAGATTTAAGGAGCTAGTTGCTGTAAGAGTGGAGCGGGTCGTCCTGCAGCACTGATACACAGTCTGACCCCCCCAGCTGCATCCAGCTGCACCACAGATTTACTTTCATGAAAAATAACTGACACAACCTTAAAAACCCCCACAGCACCGTACTCAGCACTACTCAGCAGAAACTGAGTGAGTGTGATCAGCGCTGGTTTGAAATGTGCTGAGTTAATCCTCCTCGTGTGGGCTGAAAGAGACCACATCACTGCCAGCCAAACCCTGCAGAGGTACTACAGCCGGTGTCACCGCAAAGTCCACCACAGTCTACAGCTAATCATCCACCTGAGAGAAAACAGGACGGGTTCCCAGAGCAGGAATCCTAATATTCTGCTCACTCTTTGACCCTTTCTTCACCCCACTAACATCCCATAAACACACAGTCTATAATATCTGCCACT